GTGCGGAGCCCCCGGGACCCGGGGCGGCTGCGCGGGCTGCGCTGCCGGCCCGCAGGTCTTTGCTCGGCTCCAAAGCCCTTGTACGATACCAAAGACGGTGTGCGAGCGGGGCTGCCCGGAGAGCCTAGCGACAGAGCAATTCCCACAGGGCCTGGCACCGCCTGCGCTTGGTGCTGCTTGCTGCTTACCGCGCTGCAGAGCGTGAGACTGAGGAGAAGGGCCGCACTGGAGCTGCTTCACGGTGCCCAGCACCAGTGATCTGGGCAAAACTGTTTACCTGCTTTTAATGTGCTTCCTTTTGCCATGTAGGTACTGCCATGTGAACGTGCCGGACGAGTTGTTGCGGGACCTACTTCCAGGACCTGTGACCCTGGTTTTAAAACGTTCAGAAGAACTAAATAAAGACTTGAATCCTTTTACATCGGTAGGTCTTTGCTACAGGATGCATCTCTGTTTTTGAGGGACAGTATGCTATTTTTGTGCTTCTGCTGTAGTAGCTTTTATTCTTACCTGTGTCTTTAGCATACTTAGCAGTGATTGGTATTTTCCCAAAGCTGTTCCCTGTGCTGTCGAGCTCCCTGTGACTTACTTGAACATGGCATAACCCAGCATTAGGGGCTAACTTATGAAAGGATGTCTCTCATTATTGCTAGTTCAACGGGTGTTGATGTATTGATATTCTCTTAGAGTACCACCTTTAAGTCAAGAGGGCTTTAGGCAATACAAGATTAAAAGCGGTTACTGCGTGTAACACCATACTCTCTTTTTCCTTGTAGCTGGTTGGCGTTCGTATTCCAAACCACCCTTTTGTTAGGGAGTTGGCACGAGCTTGCTCTGGACCACTGGCTTTAACAAGTGCTAACATCAGCTCTCAGGCGAGCACGCTGACAGTTTCGGTAAGGCTGTTTTTGCCACTAAGTGATGTTACTGTGATAGTCTGTCAGAGCCTCAGGCTCTCGCAACTGGAAGCCAGCTTTAGCAATAAAACAAGGATTTTTCTCTGTTGCTATTATTATTTTTCTTCAATGATAATCTCTAGTTAAAACAGCCTGTGGATATATGGTGTGGCGTAGCTGTCTTGCTGTGATCCTCGCCTTAAAATGCGAGGAGGGCAGAGCTGAAAAGTAATATTTAAAGGCCTATACGCAGCTTTTGAAGTGGCTGCCAAATCTGAAAGACAGAAATTGCTGTAGGAGGGATGGCTGTGGGATGAGACCACTGCTGTCTGTACAGCTCCTTGCAGGCTGGTAGCTAACAGTACCTCAAGGAGATGTCTTTTTGCAAAGCTTGTGACCCTGGTGATAGTATAGTTGGGCATACTACCAGACGGATGCCCTGTTCTTGCCCCCAGATGTCTTGATAGACTTCTGGCTTTTTTTGTGCACTCCTTAATAAACAGTGCTGCAGCTAAGAAGTCTTCAGCCAGAGAATCCTTGTGGCTTTCCTGCATGTCTGAGAGAAATCTGTTTTCAGAAATCAAACTGAGATGTGTTCATGACGGGAAAAAAAGTGAGCTGACCTGACACAGGAAGGGGAGAGACCACCTTCCTTGACACTAGAACTTCCAGTAGTGTCTGTTAAAACATGATGGCAAAACATCTTCAGGAATGTTATCCACATCTCTTTTTTTCAGGAATTCCAAGACCTGTGGCCTCAGTTGTCCTTAATCATCGATGGAGGCCCAATAGGGGACATCCAGAGCCCAGAGTGTCGTTTGGGGTCAACTGTGGTTGACTTATCTGTGTTGGGGAAATTCACCATCATTCGTGCTGGCTGGTGAGCACTCTTTGCTGAATATAACTGTAGCTTTTTCTTTATTTGAAATGAAATGAAGCTTTCCAGTTAGGGTGGATTGTGTTTTGCTGCTTTTCCCGCAGCAGCTGAACCTTCCCATTAATGTTGTTTAGCTTAATTACCAGCAAGCTCAGAAATCCTGAAAAAGTGCTCCAAATTCTGAGCCCAGGAGTCCCCTTTCTAGAAACATTATGTGAAACTCTGGTTCCCGGAGTTCTCCTTGATTCAAAATGCAGTACTGCATCTAGCCAATCGCTCCTTCCCAGAAAATGCAGTTTAATCTTTATAAAGCTTTTTTTCTGATGGTTCTGTTTCACCCCACAGTGCACTGACACCTACAGTTGAAATTCTGAGGCAGAAGTATGGCTTGATACCAGAATCATCTTAAGACTTCACACTGAGGAGGCTCTGCAGTGCTGGTGAAGCTGGGTACCGTGTGCCTGTGCATTCAGGAAATGGGCGTTCATGGCCTTGTTTAATAAGGTCAATGGGTTATGTCGAGGTTAATAAACAAAAGATTAAAAAAAGACAAAAAAAGATTAAAAAAAAGACAAAAAAAAAAGAGCAACAGTTGATGGGTATCTGTTAATTAGTATCACATGTGCTATAGTCTGAGAACCCAACCCAAATATGCGTGCTGCCCTCTTTGTGCTGCTGTGCCATTCCCAAATACATGTCTGTTTTATTAACATGATTAGGCCTTTGAAATACAATAATTTGAATGTTAGACTATTGTCAGGATGGGATGATCAGGATAGTGTCTGATCCACCCTCCCCTTAACACTTACTCCATCTCTTTGTTTATTGTACCTGCACTGAAAGAAAAGCAAAGATGGAGAAGAGATTTTTCGAGCTTTCATGATGTTATAGCTATGGTGTTCCCTGGATGTTTTTTCTATGTTCTAAATGTAATCAAAACCTACTACTGAGATGAAACTGTTGAGTGCTTTTGAAAATTAACAGTAGTCAAATGGTCCCTATCAAGACAAGAGCTGCTCAGAAAGACCTGGCTTCCTTGTAATACAAAGAATGAAAACAAGCTCGTAGCATGCTGATCTTAATTTTTTAAATGTGGACTTTCCTCTCTTGATTTTGTTCTGAAAACAGTGCTAAGCTGAAGTAAATAGGGAATGGATGAAAGTTTCCACTGATATTTATTCTTCATTGAAAAGTAAAGTTTATGGAGCTGCTATTAATTTAAAAACTGGTAAGCAACTTGCATGATTTTGTAACAAATGCTTATTTTTAGACATTGTTGTCCATCACTTTTGACAGACTGAGGTGCTTAGTGAGAACATGTACGGAGTCATCACAAAGAGAACCCTGTTTCACATCCAGAGCTGCTACTTCTCATTTTATTGACATAGACAAGTATAAATTAATTTTATGGCTAATTTAGAAGGGTCCAAGCATGGCTAAAATCATAAAAAAGGGAAAGCTACTGTGAGCTGAACCTCTTTCAAAGCACAAGTTAATGGTGTTTTCGCTTGCATTTTTACTAAAGGGGATAAAGCAGCTTCAGATCCAAATTTTCAAAATGTGGAACACTAAACAATCAGTTAAGAGCTTTTAGTATAGATCATTGCATTTCCTTGGTTTCTAGCACATACAGTAGTAGTAGTAAATAGTCTCTAGCGTTCCACCTCTGTCTTTAGTTATTTGGATACAGTGGACCACAGTGACAACGCCCAGCACAGAACTCCTTGGTATAGAAGAGGCTGGATAAAGTAGAGGGTCTGTAATGGCATGGCTTAGCTTCACATATGGTGGACAATTTGGAGGAATATTTACTTCTCTTTACAGTAAGCTGATAGAGAAATGCTTTGACAGAGTTGCTAGAGGAGTGAGGGATATGCGATCACTGCAGGCAACAGGCCAAGGGCATATGGTAAAAAGCATGCTGGAACCCAGTGAGCTGTGAAGTATGGAAAACCAGATCTTTGGCCCTCAAGCCAGCAGTCAATTCTAGAAGAGCTCTGAAAGGGTTATCTGTACTAAATCTGCAGAAAATTAGATTTGACTGCTGCTTGCAGATTTCCTGCTCCCTGTTAACGCTTCCTCCTGTGAGTCCGTAGCTTGGGCTTACCAGTCCTTGGGATACTTGCAGGTGGCCACTCACATTCAGCAGCCTGGTTAGGCTGAAGGTTCTGTGGCTGCGTCTCCTCGAGTGCTTTTCTCTGAAGCACTGCTCTGTGCTGCAGCTTTGTCAGCAGTGCATCTTTCCGAATAAGGCAAGTACTGAAGTCACATCAACCACTGCTCTTCCTCTTTCCTGAAATGTTCTGCCCACCTTCGAGTCAGCTCCAGGTACATGCTCGGCTGATGAGGAAGGTAGTCCAGATAACGGTGTGCCAGCATCTTCTTGGGTGCAGCTTTCTCAATCTGGGTGCCTTTGGGCCATTCATTGAAGGATGCGATGGAGATGATCTCTGGCCTGACCGTGACAGCAGCCTGCAGAGCTGTTTCATAGTACTTCCCGTTGACTCTGTTCTGAGTGTTGTGGTTGTTCCAGGGGCGAATGCTGGTGTCGATGAGCCTGGGCCAATGCTGGGGATGAACATCAGGTTGTTGGAGTCACAGACAGTTTTGATTGATTTCAAGTTCTGGTGGGATGAGCTGAAAGAGAAACCCTTGAATGCAAGGTATGTGTACATGCCATCGTAGCCTGTAGAGAGGATCTCATGCTTGTGTCCCTCCTCCATCAGCAGTGCTGTGAACACAGCGTAATAGGCAGTGTTGCGGAGAGAGTGGGAGCCTGATGGCATGAGAAGGTTGGCCCAGGATTCAGCTGGTGTCTAGGAATAGATACGAAACAGCAGGAAACTCTTGCCGGTGCTGGTCTTGCACTTACAAAAAGCTGCATGTGATCTGTATCTAGAGAAGAGCACAAAGTTTTTCAGAGGCTGGGGTGGTAAGTCCTCAGCAGGCGTTTCCATTATAAGGCAAGCATGGTGTGAAACCTGGTTTGCCATAGGGGTCTCCTTTCCCAGAACCTTTATCACTGTCTTCATGGCAGTGCCTGTGCCTGTGCCTGCTCCTTTCCTTTTTGAAAGAAAGGGCAGAGGTGTCAGCCTATGGGTGGTAAGCTTTGACACTTGAGCAGAAGAAAGCAGTTTTGGGTTCTGAAGGCAAGGTACTGAAGTGCTGGAGAAAGCGGTATTTGATTATTACCCCTGATCAGTACTGCCCTGTTGGCTCACTCTAGGCAGCTCCCTCCGCTGCGCACTGTTTTTTGGATGCTATTCTGATGCATTTAATTCAAAGTTCTGCACGCTGTTTGTGCTTAAAGCAATACTACACAGCTGGATTTAGCCTACATAAAAAACTCACTTGTCCATGATATATCTGATATTCTCATGCACAGTGTGGTCATCGCGCCCTTTGTATGCCTGGATATGAAAGGCAACCTCCAAAAGAGACCACAGAGACGGTTATTTTCATCACACTGGTACTGCTTTCTTTGCACCCTGACCTTCCAGAAGACCCTAGGTTCCCTGCCACGGGCAGGCTGAGAGGACCCCTTCATGAGATACGCGGAATACAGCACTCTACTTGGTGAAGTCGTGGCTTTCACTGCTTTTCCCCTAATGCTAGTAAACTGAAAATCCCGATTATTAAGAAGAGGCAAAGCCCTGTATTTAGCTATTGAAAAAATTGTTCCCGTTGTGTTAAATGCAAGTACTCATTTCTTTGAACACAGTCGCTGAAGTAGAGGAGCAGGGCTCCTGCCCAAGCACGGCACGGGGTCCGCGCTGGAGCGAAGGGCGAATTTAACGGCCTGGCAGAGCGGACGGGAGCCTTGCCCTCACGGTGTGCCCGTGGGCGGTGGGCGGCACGGGGGGCACCGGCCTGTCCGATGGCTCCCCGTTGTCGTCTGCTAGGCCGGGGGCACCAGGGCAGGACCTGCGCTCCCACAGCGGCACGCAGCAGAGCAGGTCTCTCCCAAATGCATTTGTTTATAAACCTTTTCTCTTCGTTTATAAACGCTCCCCACCGCGTAGGCCGCGGCGGCGAGACGCCGCCCC